TTTTAAGCATCACCAAGGACCACCATTTAAGCTAAAAGCATTTTTGATGTTTTTCTGAAATATTATATATATATATATAGATATATAATATTTCAGAAAAACATCAAAAATGCTTTTAGCTTAAATGGTGGTCCTTGGTGATGCTTAAAAATGTACAGGAAAAACCAAACATATACAGGCAAAACAAAATATATATATATATATTAGGGGTGCACTCTGTCGCGAGGGAGGTGAGCGCTAGTATTTACAACACTCGGGCAACCCAGGGCCGGTCGTGGCATAGGCACCATAGGCATATGCTAAGGGCGCTGTACATCCAGGGGGGCGCCAGAAGTGAGCGCGGTTCAGTTGGTTTTGTTTTCGATTTTCCTGACACACATTCAGTTATAGACGGCATTAACTCAACCTCTTACCCTAAAAAGATCTAAAGTGTGTTTCCTACAAAAAGACAAAGCTGGTTATGTTTCACAGCTGTCTTTCTTTTTTTTTTTTCGCTCGACATTACGATCACTGCTCCGTTTAAGCCCTCGCAATATGCGTTTAGCCGGGAGAGCTCGCGTTGAGAGGAGCTCTCAGCAAGGGACCGTCGAAAAAGTGCTTCTTTTTTTTCCCTTTTTTTTTCGTATTTCTGCTCCGCTCAGCGCGAGCTCTCCCTGTTGCGAGGGCTTAAGTGTGTGTGTGTGTGTGTGTGTGTGTGTGTGTGTGTGTGTGTGTGTGTTTGTTTGGTGCTGTCTATGATTGTGTATGTGTTTGAATGTGAGAGTGTGGTGCTGTGTGTCTGTGTGTTTACAGACAGCTTGTTATAGCCTCCCCCCTAACACTGTATATAGAAAGCTTTGTCAATGCACCGTGATGCACCGAGATATCGAATTGAACCGAATCAAAGGCATGATAATAGTACCCGAATCGAATATATATATAGTATTTATAGAATTTTGGAAAGCAGGAACTATTGACATCCATAGCAGACGCAAAAATATTACTATAGAAGAATACTAAGGAAAACTATGCAGTGCCAACTTTCTTCAAAATAGTTTATTTTGTGTTAAACAGAAGAAGATCAATCAGATTTGGAGCAAGTAAATGATTAGTAAATTTTCATTGTAGGGTGAATCCCATTAAAAGTCCTGAGGGGTAGTAAATCAACAGCAGCATTCTCATTTTGGGGGATCTGTCTCTTTAAGGCTGGTTCACACTAACACAAATGTTTATGACAACACAAATTGGATTTTTGGTCCTACTAGCAGTGTTACCCTACATTCACATCAATACAATGCCTCTGCGATAGTTACAGTATTGTTAGACAAACTAAAGAATAAAGGATTTTATTATTGTAAGATATACAGGAGAAAAAGCAAAAATAACTGTTGATTAAAATTTTTAATTCGGAATGGACTTGGTGTGGTCCAAGCACACTTTTATTTGAACTAAAGCACATGTAAATACAACAAAAGTTGACCAGAGTTCTGTACAAAAACAATATAAAATAAAAGTAATCTCTTACAAAGTAAATAGTGAAGGTGGACGTGAATAGACTTGAATGAACTCATGCACAGGCAATAGAGACACCAGATTACAAATATTCATGATGCTGTAGTTAAAAATAACTGTTACAAACATTTGTTAGCACATGTTAAATATTTGTTATCAAGTTAAACACTTATGGTAATGACTATTGTGGCAAGTGAAGGTTTGAGAGACCCCTTCAGATTCAGTGCATATGTGAATAATTTTCACAAAATAAGATCATACAAAATGCATGTTTTTTTTTATTATTCAGTACTCTCCTGTGTAAGAACCCTTGGTTTTTAATACTGTTTGTGGTTACCTGGATGATCTACGACCTTTGACATGTTTGTTTATGAAACAGTTCAGAAATATCTTCAGTTTTCCAGCATCTTGCCATATATGAATGTTTTCTAGCAGTGACTATATGATTTTAAGATCCATCTTTTCACACTGAGGACTATTTTAAAAGGGTTAAATGTTTCAGAAAGAAACACAATTTGTTTAGAGCCTTGGGGGGTGAAAACATTTAAACAGAATGAAGATGTCCACATTTTTCTAATAGTTAAAAAAAATTATCCATTTAGGACTGCCCTTCAGAAATAACCAAATATACTTGCATGTTTCCTGAAAGAACGTACAAGTTATCTTCGAAATGAAAGAGTTTTCATAAAAGTGAACAGTAAGAAATTAAAAAACTAACATGAATTTGTATGATCTCTTTTAATTTGTTAAAATTATTCTCATTTTCTTCATTTTTACAAGGGGTTTCACTTGCCACTGTAAATTGGTCCTTTTTACTTGTAAAATCAGACCTTTTACATTATAAAAGATTCACACTTTCATTGTTTAACATTTTCATCATTATAAATAGTAGTTTAATGCAGTTTACAATGTTCGCAAAAAAGGAAAAATCTAAATCTAAATCCTAAATATAAATCCCAAGTGTGTTAGGTTTATACAAAGTGTAAATTAAGTTGTTAGAGTGGCTGACTGTAGTATTGGTAACCTAGTAACCAAAAACAATGCAAGCATAATGGAGTCAGGTTGGTTTAATGTTTGTTAAACTGAGTTGGAGTTTATGCATCAAATTTTCATTATACACATTAACAAGCTCAAATTCACCTCAAGTGAGCATCATTTATTTATTTTTATTCAAATTTTGACATTTCCATCACTAGTTTCTCAAGCGATACTGCAAAATGTGTATTAACAAAGGGCTAATGAAACGCTATAAACCTTATTGTTTTTCCCACACGGTTCGTTGAACTCTCAGCCTTCTCCACAGCTTAGAATGAGCAATCTAAAAGCTGCAGAATAATCAAACTATTAATCTAAACATGCTTATTTTTAAGGATTTTTGTACTTTACTGAGGAGCTTCAGATGTTCTATGCATTCAATCACAAAGTATACGAATATCCACAAACTTAAATGTGTTAGTTCATCTAAAGATGGACATTACAGTATGTCTATTTTACTCACTTATGTTGTTCTTGCCTAACCGTTAATCTTTACGTTTGAAACATAATCAAAATTCTTAATTTACCATACAGTTTGAAATTAAGTGTATGATTTTCACAGTACATTTTTTGGGTGTTATATGGAGTCATGTTGTTTACATTACATTTTTATATCACAGTATCTCTTAATGATCTCTGAATGTTCATTACACTCCTGGGTCTGTATTCACAAAGTATCTTAACACTAAGAGTCCTCCTAAATAGCAGTAAACATAAAGGAAAGCAGGGTGTGAATATAATTTCATGTGGACTTTTAAATGTTCCTCTTCTGCAACTATTCAACAATGCAACTTTGTGTGATCCTCCTAACTAGGACCAACTGCTCTTTTGATGTCTTTTAATAGTTTATTTGCAGCAGGAAGCTTGTTCTCAAGCAGTTTGGTTTAGTTAAAACAATAAACTACAATCAAAAAGAGTTCTCGTATTCAAAATAAGCCACCGCACACCAAAGCCAGGCAAAACAGCGTGGCCATGAAGGAACGTTTACCTTGCACAGTCGGTGCCTTTATCAGTATTACAACCTTATTATTAGTACCGTTTTCGCTCCTTTGATATCTGAAACTGCTTTGATCTGAAGTGTGTTACTTATTTGTTCTTTTTAGGCACCTTACTTTTTTGTGCAGTTCACAAATGTGAGTGGAGAACGTCGTTTTTAACCATCCAGTGTTTCTCTGAGCTCTTCAGAAAAAGCACACACACAAAAGCTGTACATTTGAGTTTCAGAAAAATACCTTCTGTGCTTCCTAATAAGCCATGAAATAAAACTACCTTGTATATTTTTATTGACTTTTTCTGGTATTATGTGTTGGACTACAGTTGAAGTCAGAATTATTAGCCCCCCTGAATTATTAGACTGTTTATTTATTTTTTTCCCTAATTTCTGTTTAACAGAGAGATTTCTTCAACACATTTCTAAACATAATAGTTTTAGTAACTCATTTCACATAACTGATTTATTTTATCTTTGCCATGATGACAGTAAATAATATTTGGCTGGATATTTTTCAAGACACTTCTATACAGCTTAAA